TTTCAATAGTGGTTCATAATAATTATGATGATTATTATTATTATTATTATTATTATTATTATTATTATTTAATAATTAGTAGTTAGCTTGGAGAATAAACTAAGGTTTATTTTGAGGGCTTTATCTAAAGAACACTTCTGCTTTGTTATGGAAAGTTGATTTTTGAATAAAATAAAATTTGATTGGTTTTATCGAGAGAGTATCTCGTTTATCCTTCACATTCATACGCTTCCCTACATCAGTTGGTATCAGAAGTAAGCACGATTCACGATGCTGCAACGAAGACAAGATGCTGCACACGACAAGCGTAACGCTGTCATCTACATGCTGAGCCGCTGGATCGAGGCGTTTGGTTGTCGGCTCAAGACGATGGGTAGTAGGATTACAGATCTGTCCGCGGAGGTCGGGGACATACGTCTAACTCTCCATACCACGATTCATGCAAGAGAAGAACAAAAGATAAAATATAATAGATCGAGAGGTATTGTAATTCACGCAGTCGTCCAGTGGGTATATATTGCGTTTATGTTAGTATATATATTCAGTATTTGGTGCAATTAAAAACATGTCTTTCATAAAAAAGTTATGTCTTTTTTTTTTTTAAGTTTAAAATTGCACCTACAACGAAGTATATGTTGAGTTAAAATTATGTCTTTCATATAAACATGACTTTAATAAAAAAAATTTGCAACTACAACGAAATATATGTTGAGTTTAAAAGTCAGTATAAATTTTCATGTCTTGAATGACCAGTATATATTGAGTTTATATTTAGTATATACTTCTTATAAACACAACATATATTGAACATATACTCCCTATAAACGAAGATAAAAGAGCCCTGTCGTGAGCTTGAAGGCGATTCCCGACCTTCCCGACACAATTATGCTCTGCAGTAGTATCATCAGAACCACTAGCACGTCCAATACAAAGGTTCGAGAATATTAACTTAATCCACTGCTAATCTCGGTCACGTCAATCCCAGTGAAAATGTCACAATTACCTACGATTGGAAGAAGACAAAGCAAAACTGAAAAATTGTGCTCTCGATAACAATAATAATGAAAAAATTAACCCAATTTTTTGGATCTAGCAGTGATTAGCATCCCCGAAGAAGTAATTGAAGAACTCCTCCAGATTCATCCCCCGCCTATGAAACAAGTGTGCGTGCCTGAGCCCGTTTGTGATGCCCTGCGCGCCCTCCACCGTCGAGTTCGCTTCCTCCTGCACCTCCGCCATGAACTGCCTCAATCCATCGGCTTCCATCATCTATATAATCATAGCAAAATTCTCAATCCGGATAAAAAATTAACGAATCGAACAACGAAAAATGTGATTGGAATCGCCTATTCTTTAATATGGAATAGTTTAATCGAAGCTCGAAGCTTAAAGGAGAAGGAATCGAGGGATTTCGACCATGACTTTTTTACTTTCCCTGGCGTGGAAAGCTAGTGGTGCTTTTCTGCAGGGTTCCATTAATAACACATTTTAGGTACAATTGTAATATTTAGGGATTTGGTTAGTAATTTTATAATTAAGAATATAATGGGTGTAAAAAGTGTAATATTAATCATATCTGATAGTAGGGGTGTAAATTCCTCTTATTTTTTTCTTTTCATATTGAGAAGCCCAACAAAAAGCATAAATTAATATGCTTTGATCACAACCTGTTGTAGCACAATTGTTATTTTTACCGAGTAGCGAATCAAAAGATTCGTTCCCCAGGTCGATCTCACGAGGAAGGCTGTTCGGAATTTAGAAATGGTATCGATCACACACGAAAGAAAATAAAATCCTAAACATTTTAATCAGATAGTGGGTTCGAGAAATTATCAGCTAAGAAATAATAAAAAGCATAATCTACCTAAAAATATAAACGAAACAAAGATGGAGAAGCTATGGAATCGGGGATAATTAATTCAAGTTCCACATGCAAACCGAGACCTTAATCGTTCTATTCCAGACTGACGCTCTCACTGAAACATCTAGCAGTTCGCTTCCAATAACTCTTCGTAACAAGGGATTGAACATAGACGAGCAAGCTCGAGCATACAATACATGCCAATTATCCCAACACAATAACTTTTTGTAACAAGGGACGGGTCACTGACAAGCACGTATTTCAATAAAAAAAACCTATAGACTATTCAATTACGAAATCATCTACCTCAAGTTAGCCTAGGTCTACGACTTCTTCCCTTTCAGTTTTGAAAATCGCTAATTCAATTAGAAGGTGATTAATCGACTACTCATATAGAATCAACAAACCCTAACTCGACAAATTAATATTCAATTGATACCAATTGCAAGATCAAAGTGTCACTATCAATCAATCAAGCAAGAATACATCAATTCCTAATCAAATCAACTCACGCAGAGAATGAACAAATCAAGTCCGATAATTACACGTTAAACAAGAACAATCATCCCCTATCCCTAGCAATCAGAATTAGCTACACAAATTGAATTCAACACAATAATTCATTTCTCCCAATTCAACCATTATACATGAATTAAATAGAAGAGAAAAGAGACTTACGATTAATCTCAAATCCACGTGTTGAATATGAATTACAAGGTTAATCCCAAAATCAAGAACAAATTATAGATGAAAAATGGAAGAAAAGGATTATGAGAAGATGAATAATCGAAAAAGGAAGAAGAAAGGGAGAAGAAAGAGTGTTTCGTGTTTTCTCGGGACCTAGGGCTTTCACCAGGTCGAGAGATGTGTTTAATCGAAGTCCAGATACGATATTTATAGTCGCAGGTCAATGGCGTGAGAAATCTGGCAGCACGACGGTGGATTCTCTTATCACGGCGCGGAGGTGGTGTCACGGCGCGGCGAAGCCTTCTGTCACGGCGTGGAGGTACATAGCGGCGTGAGGGACATTGAGCTGCTCTGTTCTGCGCGTGATGGGTGCTACGCAAGGCTCAACGGCGCGAGGGCTGCCCTTTATGCGGCGCGGCGTAGTGGCACGGCGCGATGGGATACTCTGCCACGGCGTGAAGACCTTCTACGGCGCGATGGCTCTCTGTCGCCCTCGTAGCAGTGCCGCGGCGCGGCGTGCGCGGGGTACTGGGCATGGGGCTGGTGGCTTCCGTGCACTTCGCGTCTCGGGATCGTTTGCATTCGTTTTGACTCAAAATTCGATTCCGCTTTTTCTTGTGTGTTCCCAACGAACTCCTCTATTTAATTACTCTTTTCCCGACTATTTTTGCTTGAAATCTAGTTCTCCCGAGGCTTTCGACCTACACAACATAAACAAAGAAAAACCGGAAAAATACACGAAAAACACAAGAAAAACCAAAATAGAGAGAAACACACAATAGAAACGGACCATAAACCATCTAAATGACCTAATATGGGAAAAAAGAAAGTAAAAATAATAAGAAAAAAAGCAACAAAAATGGGACAAACACAACCTATATAAATAAAATATTTTGCCACAACATCGTCTTCTTCCTCTTTCTTTGTCTAGACTCTAGATCCTGCTCTCTTCGTATCAATTTTATTATGAAAAATAATATAATCTAAAAGGTGGCAAAATAATTCAGTCTGGACAGCTGACCGCGCTTGACCATATGTGGATCTGCCCCTACTCATGTTGATTGTTTCACATTGATCAATCTTTTAGACTGACTAACAAGGGAATTGGTCAAACACGACAGAAACCCAATTGATTGACCTTGACTCAGGCATTGACCCTTTTGACTGAATCAAATTTCGACCGGCCATTAGATATTTTTTTAGTTACAATATTTTTATTCTGAAAATAAAATTATGTATATATATGTGGTAAATATATATGACTATAGATAAAATACTATAAACTTTAAAATATAAAACTTACACAGAGATTATTTATTTTTCATTTTTTATGTATAATTATAAGATAATAACTAGTATGTATCCCGTGCGATGCACAAGACAAGATATTAAATGAGTTATTTTCAATGACTCTGTCCGAAGACTAAAAAGCAATAAGGTTATCATCTAATTTTCAACTTAAGTCTAAAAAACAATATAATTATAATCTATTTATACATCATTTAATCAATGTTGTTTTTTAGCCAGAATATTAAATATGAGTATGTTAGAGATAACTTGTAAAATAATTAATATATTATCTCCAACACATTTATACTAATATAAAATTTATTTTAGTATATATATTTATTCCTTGATATAAGAGAAAATAACAATTTTACTTATCCATGTTCATCATATAATACTTAATTATTATTTTATTATAAAGTTTGTTTTCATATAATGTCATTATTATTTATAAAATTT